TACATTAACAGTACCAAAAGTTGTAATTGAGTATAGAGGAGAAAATGGAAAAATATGGAGAAGAAAGGAGGGTCAGGGAAAAAATACTGGATTGTGTAATATTGAACAGATTTATATTGAAGAAGTTAATGTTAAATATTTGAACCTAGACAACATGTTGGTTATTAAGCACTAAAGACTGTAATTTTTAAAAATTAATAAAACTTTTATATAAAAAAGAATAGACATGGATGATGAGGCTATCTATAGGCAACTGATACAGAATAACAGTGTTGGCAGGGACCTTGGAGGTCTTCTAGTCCAACCCCTTGCTCAAGCAGTAAACCCTATAATATTTCAGACAATTGGTTGTCCAATCTCTTCTTAAAAGCCTCCAGTGATGGAGCACTCATACGTTCTGGAGGCAAGCCGTTCCACTGATTGTTATCACTGTCAGTAAATTTCTCCTTAGTTCCAGGTTTTCTTGTCTTGCCTTCAGTTGCTCTGCTTTTCTTTGTGGCAGCCCCTTAGATTTTGGAACACTGCTATCATGTCATTCCTAGTTCTTTTCAATAAACTAGACATACCTTATTCCAGCAACTGTTCTTTATATGTTTTAGCCTCCAGTCCCCTGATCATCTTTGTTGCTCTTCTCTGCACTCTCTCCAGAGTCTCACCATCTTTTTTATATTGTGGTGATCAAAACTGGATGTAATATTCCAAGTGTGGTGTTACCAAGGCATTATAAAGTGGTATATTAACACTTCACATGAAAGTAAGAATGATTATAGGTTATGGTCTGGTAGCCAGGAAAAAGCCTCTCTTGCCTCATTACTAGATTCTAGAATGGATTTCCTTCAGAATTATATTATAACCCACCAGCATTTCTCTGATATCTAATGAACTTGACTTCTCTGTGATGACACCTTCCCTTTGAAACATCATTCCCCAAAAAATAAGAGTGGCTCCCACCTTATTGCTTTTCCGCAAAACCTTGAAGACATGGTTTTGTCAGTGGGTTTGGGGCCTCATTCAAAGCAAATAAAGTGATTTGTCTGATTCTGTTGTTGCCACCATTGGGTCAGGTGTGGGGTAGATTTTTCAAAAATTGTGGATTTTTAACTATGAATTTTTAATGCTGTACACTGCTCGGATTTGCTCCATATGAGTCGGGCAGCTACATAAATTTGTTTAATTAATAGAAAAATAAATCACAAGGGAGGATGTCGTACTCTCGTCTCATCTTAAGCACCTAAGCAAACTTGCCTTTAAACATATATCTTGACAATCCCTCTTTGGGGAACAAGAGGAAACTACCTTGTATCACTCCTGGAATTGCTTTACATTGTTTGCTAGACTTGTCTTACCTTTCTGGGGATGTTTACAAGTTGAATTAGATGGAACAGGAAATAAATCTCAGCTGTCTTTATTTGCTCTAAAATGTTCTGCTACACCTTTTATGAAGAATGTAAAATAAAATGAAGCACAGTTGATTACTGTTTTCATATACATGAGCAATTAATATATATGGCATATGGTGTACAGCTGGAACAACCGGAAGAACCAAAGAATGTAATTTCAGAAAACTACCCACTCTTGCTGTTAGGGAGGAGTGACTTAAATAGCAGAAAATCAAATTAAGTTGGTTTACAACTATTTGCAGAACTAGCCGTCTCCCTGAAGAATTACTGCAATGTGAAGAATCTTATTACAGTAACATTAAGAGTGACTATGGGTTGCTACTATATTTTTTAAGAGGCACTAGCTTTGCAGTGATAAATTCTTCATTCACATTCTTCTCTTTGGTTAGGTGTTTCAGAAACTAATCAGACCAGGAATCCTACAGTCATCAACCTTTCCCTCACCATATTGAACATATCATTCCACAAGGAAGTAGGCAGTCTGCATGTGGCAGTTTCAAATGCAAACCAAACGCAGGAAAAATGAGTCAGTAGGGAGAAAACAAGTTCATGTCACAGGATAGATGGTTCAGAGCTATTTTGGCACCCAACAGTCTCTCCATGGATATGTGGTCATCTATTCAGCCACTGAATGTGTCATCTCTATGATCTTTAAAGCTCCTATTAAAAAAGGTAGCTGGATATCAGTGAAATTGGAAAAAATTGCCAGATAGTGTAATCCCAAGAGCAGGGCAACATTGATCCTATAATGCTATAAATGGGGGCTATATTAGGCTTTTCCAGTATTAGGACTTTGAGAAGCAAGTGATCAAGGTTGCTGCTGTGAGAAATGAGAACATTTTGAGGGTTTCCAGTGCATTTGATTTATATATAAATCATGGGAAGGGGTAAATGTTAGCCTTCTACTTAGTTTACTGTTGATGGGAAGAAAGATGTGGGGTTTTTTTATGCGCAGACCCAAGGAAACCACAGAGAGTAGAACAAGGCCCTCCATTATTAACCAAATTGGAAGCCTCAGTAAACCTAGAACTTCATCATTTAGGTGGACTATCCTAGGGGGTCACTAAGGGGGAAACCAGTTTAGAGCTCCTCCTTCCATATTACCAAGCAAGCAGGTAGATAAAGCTTAGGGGGGGGGAGGCTTCCTGCTACATTAGTCTAAGGTAAGTGACCATGTTCAAATTTAGGGGTACAAATCTTGCAATCATCCAGGTTTTAGGCTTTGCTTTTACAACTCCTCCAAAGATTGTTTTCATGGAAGTAATTGTTAACATGATAGAAAGGAGAAATTATTGGCTACACAGAGAATAATATCTTAACTGTGCCTAATTTAATTGGGATTTAATTAGGCTTTAATTAGATTTAATTTGTCCCATCCTCTGCAGAGTTTTCAGCATGCCATTCAAAGAGCAAGTGTGGTCTTCATCCTGATCAAGACCATAGACCAGTGGTGGGATTCTAATATGTGAACAACTGGTTCTCTGTGTGGATGCCGCTTCCGAAAGTCCATTCTGGGCCTGGGCAACAAAAAATTAGCTACCGGTTCTGCCGAAGTAGTGCGAACTGGCTGAATCCCACCACTGCCATATAGACCATTATTTTCAATCCTGATCCTGCTTGACAGGATCCTAATTGAAGACTGTGTTTTCATTCTTCTGAATTTGTGGAATTTGCTGTAATTTATCCAGGGTTAATAGGGTGATAAAAATATGTCAAAACCCATTAAAATATGATTTGAGATACGTAGTTTGAGAACACTATTTTCTAACTAGATACTTATAGTAAATATTGTTTAATTAATGGTCTTTAAATTGAGGGTAATTTGGATATAAAGAGGGTGATAAAGCCATTTATATTTGAATTGAGGATCCAATTTGGGACTGCTGCTGCTAAGACACTTGTATAAAAACAACACCATCACAGTGGCAATGACATCATGTGAGATCAGGAAAAGCAACAATTTGGTTTGGACAGAAATGATCAAATATAGAGCCATTCATGTATTCTGTCCTATAGATATTTGGGTGTCCATAACAGTTGTACCCACAGATGTTTCTCTGCCTGCTTGAATAACTATTAACTATTGTTATTATTTCCAAGCCTTTGGGCAGGGATTGAATCATAAGAAGAAAGCTGGCCAACATTGGTTATGATAAATAGCATCCCTTAATGTTTAAAAATGAAAAGACCTTATAAGCATTTTTAGGAAAAGGGCTGAGTGAGCGCATCCCAGAGCTTTACTTGAAGTGCGTTCCCCCTGGGGTGTAAAGGCATCTTAGGGGATTAGTAGGGCAGGGAGCAAATTGATGAATGATCTTTATGACTGGACAGTCAATTTTTTCAGAGTGCCCATAACTTGCTTTCAAAAGCCAGATATGTGCTTTTGTTATTTGTTCAAATCCAATGAAAAATCCTTTGTGATTTCCTCAGATGTAATTTCTGTATCCCAGGACAACATTAGTGTCCCTTTGTAAAGGCAAACACTGGCATAAGAGCCAGCAATGTATTCTGGCTAAGCAGGCTTCACTTCCCCCATCACCCTGATAGCATTGCTGAGGATGTTAAGATTTTATGAAGCTTATTTAGATTGTATGAGCAATTCCTGTGTCCCTTCTGCTAGCAATCCTTACACTTTTGCAGGCTGTATGTTAAATCTGAGCATCTGATCTTATTTGATTTCAGGGATTGTGTCATGTGGAATTATGACACAGGTAGTCCTTGAGTTATGACCACAAATGAGCCAAAAAATTATGTTGCTAAGTGAAACATTTGTTAAGCGAGTTCCCCCCCCCATTTTACGACTTATCTTGCCACAGTTGTTAAGTGACTCATTGTATTTGTTAAGTTAGTAACACAGTTGTTAAGTGAATCTGGCTTCCCTGTGGACTTTGCTTGTTGGAAGTTCGCAAAAGGGGATCACATGACCCCGGGACACTGCAGCCGTCATAAATATGACCCCGTTGCCAAACATCTGAATTTTGATCATGTGACCCTGGGGAGGCTGCAACGGTCATGAGTGTGAAAAACTTTCAGAGCTGTTGTAACTTTGAACGGGCAGTAAATGAACTGTTGTAAGTCGAGGACCACCTGTGCTGAGATGGCCAGTGAGAAGTTGTGGCTGTCAAACCAAAAATGTTTTGGGAAGGAAATGGGACAAATGATTGGAAAAAAATGTTTGTTTTGTTCCTTGAGGCAGTCAAATGATGAAGTCCCACTGATTGTCATTTGTTCTAAATTTAGTTACAACGTCATTACTCTTTTCTGCTATTATTTCCAGAATTATTATTTTGTATATTATTTTACCAGACATTGTATAGCTGCTTTGCTAACTCTTCAGGGCGGGGCTAGTCTCTGATGAGTGTGCACTTGCAGAGAAACCAGTATAATAGATCCGTATCTTGGTGTTATAATAATTCACACTTACATGAGCAGATGCTCCAGGTGTATGTTTTTTATAGGATGTTTGTTTGTCTGCATTGGGATCACTGGTTTCATTTCCTAAGCATAAAGGGAGCTAATGTAGAGAACATAAATTATACAGTCTCTTTTAATGATATCTTTTGTCATTTCATTCATACCAACCAACCCTTTTTCATTTAGATACGAAGAAGAAATAAACAAACGCACGGGGATGGAATTCACCTTCGCAACACTCAAGAAGGTAGGCAGAGAAGCATTCCTTACAGATCCAAGCAGGGAACAGTAGTTCAAGGGTCCAGGTAGATAAATCATCTGACTGAGCTTTTATACAGAATTGAGCTTTTTTTTTAAGTAGTTTTGTTTTAATTGGATTCACATCTGGTAGTTCAGTTTTTATACTTTTGAAGCTTAGCTTTGATTTTCACCTTTTTAAAACTTTTATCATTGCCACAACTTTTTAACCGCCCCTTAGAAAGCAAGTGCAATCCACAATGTAATCATACCAGTTTGTTTTGATATTGTTGCTGGAATGAGCAGGTAAAAATCATAGATGCTGCTGGTTTGGGACGGTGGTCACGAATTCATAAAGAGTTTTGCTTGATTGTAATTCTTCCTCTGAAAAGCAATTCAAAAGAAAAAATCCAGGCTCTGTTCAGGATCATCTAATATTGAGTTATGATTTTTTTAGTCAAGCATCTAATTATATTGAATCTATTTAATATATAATGGAGTATTTTCCAGCATTTCCAATTCTAAACTTTCTAATGATCCTTGTCCCAGTACAAATTTCACTTAGGCCAGCTCTAGAGGAATGATTTTCAATGTTAGCTGGAGTGACCTATGTGCTGTTTAGGCATCAACAATTCTTATTAGGATGCTGTTATTAACCGTAAATTCCTTTTAATTGTGTTCATCCGGTATTAAACATACTTGCCTTGTTTATGTCCTTTTCCTTATGATTAAGTGATGACTAGTGGGCCAACCCATTTTCCTTTCTCATTTCCAGTAGTATTAAAATATTGTGGAAGTCATACATATGCTAGAAAATGAGATCTATAGAGGACATACATACCCTGATTCCCTAAATCTAGAATCCTAAATTTGAAACTTGGAAATGCAAGGCTGAAAAATCTCATCTTCCACCCTGACTGTATTAGTGGTGAACATCTGGATAGGACCATTCCTTTCTTTGAACAACAAGGCATCTCCTGAATGACACACTAGGAACAAGATAGTACTGAATAATATCTGTGCCCCCTTTGCTTTATTGCAACATCAGCAAGTGCTGTTTACTCCTTGTTAACATTATTGTAAGCAGTGCAATATTGTCAATTGTTACTTATTTTTACTCATTAAAATGCTGGATTTATAAATTGCTGTATGAATGTCATAGATTAGAATCTCTCTTTGGCATAGATTCCCCAACATTTTCAGAGTAAAAAAATCCAGTCCACAGCCTTTAACCTCTCAGACATCAGTATAGATCAGGGGTAGGCAACCTTGGCTCTTTCATGACTCGTAGACTTCAACTCCCAGAATTCCTGAGCCAGCCATGCTGAGGGGAAAGGGAGAGGTTTCCATGCTGAGCCATGCTGGCTCAGGAATTCTGGGAGTTGAAGTCCACAAGTCATAAGAGAGCCAAGGTTGCCTACCCCTGGTATAGATGGTATTTGACTTATTATGATCAGTTGCTTATGATGAAGTTCCGACAGACCCAAAAGAGCTATTCACATTTGAAGTTCTGACAGTCATGTGATTGCATTTTGGGTAATTAGCAACTGGCCCACATTTATGGCTGTTTGCAGAGTCCCGTGGTCACATGACTACAATTTATGGTATTTAACTTCTAGTTTTTAGCAAAAAAAAATGCTGGTTTGTTTAATAACTGCAGGTTTGTTTAACAACTGCGGCAAAAAAAATGTAAAATCAGGTTGGTCATGTGATGACCCCCCCCTTAATGACTGGAATGACTTACAACCAGAATTCCAATTACAATAATAAGTCAAGAACATGGTTTATGTCACCTGAATTTCAAAATGGCAATTACAGAAGGAGAAGACTCATGTCACCAATGAGGAAAACAAGCATACTGGTGAGATATTTCAGAAAAATTCTGTTGACAAAGATTTTTCCCAATTAAAATCAAATTTTCTGACCTATTATTAATGCTATTTTCAAATGGCAATGGCAAAATGCTAATCCTGCAAAGAACAGTCTCTCCTCCTTTCACTTGAGACTGAAATTTATGCCAAAAGTTCCAATTAAAGTGAAAAGTCACAAATTCTTTTTCTCTGGCCTTCATTAATCTACAGGACCTGGATAATGGCTTTCTCCACAAAACAGAACTGGAAACGAAACTAAGTGGACTTCACGCTTGGGTGGAATTAATGAATATTATCCATGAGCAGGTAAGAAAGAAAGAGAGGGAAAGAGACATATGTTTGCATACTGATGCTGCTTGTATTACTAGATGCAAGCAACATTAGCCTTAAAAATAGGTGGAACTGACCTACATTGGGAAATTAAACAGCAGATGTACTTTTTTTCTGATTTTATCCCCTCCCTTTCTTGTACTGCTACAAGCATCTTACAATAAATATTTGAACCAAATCTGAAGCTTGGAAAGATTGCTGAAATAAGAGGAAAACAAAGTATATAATGGCAATTATACAGATATTCAGAGATGGATTTGAAAACTTTCATACCTGCATAGAACCCCTCAGGTTTCGTGCCTTGGAGCATGTGCAAAGTGAATCAACTCCCACTCTTTTATTATTTTTGCATTGGATTTCTGTCCTCCTTTCTGCTAATCATGAGCTTCATCACATGCCAGATCAATTGTAACCTGCAATATCTTGTACACATATCTTAATTCTAACTTATATGGATAGTTATGGTGGCACCTAAGAAGCAAAACCAGTAATCTGTGTCAATCACAGGCATTCCTGAGTACAACTAGTGTGCAATTACATCTGTTACACATCCTTGGTGTTTGAGACCTAATTATTTCCACCTGGTTCAGTAAGGAACCCCCTGGTACTCACTCAGCCTTTCCCACCTTCCCTGATCTAGATACATATACATAATCATCCTGGAATTCTTCTTTCTCATAGCCTTGAGCAGGGGTGTCAACTGCTGGCCCATGGGCCAGATGCATCATTGCCGGCAATGGCAAAGCCGTCCTGATATGTTGCACAACATCACGTGACATCGCAAGTTTGACATATCTGGCCTTGAGGATCTGTTTCTTAAAACAAGCCATTATGAAATCCCCCATCTTTACAGCCTTCTTATCTCTGTTAAGAATGGTTCATCTACTCTGCATTGGCCTCTGAGCTCATTTCCAATGACTTAAGCTTTATTGTATTAAATCCAATAAAGGGAAAGAGTTGCAGGTGGGCTGGTTGATTGCTTGTCTAAGAAGTAGACATGGGCTGCCTTCTATACTGGCTTCTAACCCTTCTTTTTTTTCATTTTATGTTGCATTAAAGGGTTTCATTATTCTTACCCAATTCAGTTGCTAGAATTAAAAGCACTACTGGCAGAGGTAGTTTGCTTTCTTTTCTTGTTGTAACCAGTTCTTTGTTTGTATATGATACTTACACTGGAATATCATAAGGACTTCAAGGGTATCTTGATATTCGCATGGTCCTGATTCCCCCCTCCCCAAATTTAGGCCACTTTCCAATTCAGTGAGGTTAGCACTTATTGTTTTGTCTCTAGTTGTAGCAAAAACCAATGTTTTGGGGAAAAAATAAATACCATCAGTCAGAAAGAAAAAAAATAATCTCCCTGCCATCCTAACCCATATATACCTATCTTTTGTCAGTTTGTATCTTTCTTAATTACATCACATAGATCTCAGCATCCTGAGATTCTTTGTTCTTTATAACAAAGTCTAACCTTTTGGACTTTTATTGATAAAATCTGTTTTCAATATCAGAGGACATTTTCAAAAGGCAGCATAGCTGGATGAACAAGAATCCCAGATTTTTCAAGGCATGTTAATTGGATTCTCAGTGACCCTCAAGGAACAGGTGATAATTTTGGCCAGGAAAGCTATTACCTGTTTCACTTGTTCCTTCACAAGACCCTTCAGGTAGTAACCCACTCCTTGTTCATCACATATTTATACTATTGCAATGGGTGCTACATTGGGCTACCCTTTGAAAACTATTTAGAAACTGCAGCTGATTAGAATGGGATGGCATGGGAACTTGCAGACATGCCACTACTCATGAAACATCTTCGCTTTGTGAGCTGTGCTGATTATCAGGTGATTTCTAGGTGCAATTCAAGGTGATGATTATCATCTGTAAAGACCTTCATCTTATAGAACCTAGCTATCTAAGGAACTATCTCCTATAGTTTCTACTCATCCTGTTCAATGCTTCAGATCCCATCAGTTACGGTAAATAGTGTCTTCTGACGGTGGTCCAGGAAGCAGACCTCTTGTACATTGCCTGCCCTATGGAACAGAGATTTGTTTAATTGCTAATTAGGTTTGAGCTCATTTAAACGGGTCATGAAAACGTGGCTTTTTCTCCAAGCCTTGTTTTAGAGTATGTGGTAAAAAGGTTTTGAACTCAGCTTTCCATTACACAATCAAATTAAACATTAAGATGTACAGTTCTGTTCTCTTCGTACAGAGAATTCTACCTGCATGTTCTCCAATCAACTTCCACTGCTTTTTTATATAACTGATATTGAAAATCTTAACAGCAATAATCAAAATGCAAATTAAACTAGAACAAAGGGGGAAAAAGGATAAATAACAGAAAGAGCTAAAACTGCAATATGAAAAAAGTGGTAGAAAAAAGAAAAAGACAATTAAAAAGATTATAAAGGTACAAAGAAATGTCCTCTGATCTTCATCACAGCAGTTAAAAGTACAATTATATTTTAATCTTTCTCTATAACATTACATAATGACTCCCTTCTGTCTATAATCTATCCTGTCTAAGCCTCGCCTCAAAAACATAAATCATAACCTCATTTTTATGCAGAAATAAGGGGTTTCCAATCACCAATAAACGTAGATATTGTCCTTTCTGTAAACTTAATGTATGATTTACATATTAATCTCAGCCCACATCCTTTTGATTCTAGGAGCTTGAGGAAGTGATGTCCCAGGTTAAAGATATTTCAGTTGTCCTGGGGATTGACAACAACAGATACATTCCTGACCCCCACCAGATTGTGGAGGATGTGAGAGCTCAGTATGAAGATTTGGCTATGAAAAGCTGGGAAGAGTTGGAGGCACTCACCCGATCCAAGGTATACATTCATGTATCGTTAAAAATTTTCCAAAGTGCTTCTTGGGAACCTCAGTTGTAATGAAAGGAAAATAATGAACAGACTGAAAAGGAAAATAATGAATAGACACTTGGTTTTGCCACAGAACTCCATGTCTAACTGAACTTAAAAGCATGGCACGAAGAAATAGAAAATGGAGGCTGACAGAAAATATGGCAATGAGATTCAGCAAGGACAAGAAAGAAATAAAATCTGGTATAAAAAAAATCTCTGGATCAAAGAAATAATGAGGCAAAGAATGAGGGCAGAGAAGAAAATAAAAGAATTCATAACGAATGCTGATGAGAAAGCAGAAAATAAATTAATATTCAGATATAAAGCATTTTATTATACTCTTTTAGTCACAAATCTAATGTTACTGTATATGGTCTGGGCATTTGAGTCTAAAGCTCCAGATGGTTGAGGGAGAGAGATTTGCTTTAGTGAATATGGTTCTTGTAGATCACAAAGTAATGGTTTTGTGGGGGGGGGGGTTGGCAGCTTTATATTCCATACTGTGGATGTTACGAGAGGGGGGCAGGAAGCATTACAGTGTGTAATATTCTTTTAATTCTCGCCTCCAGCTGAATGAAAGAGAAGTGTTATCTGCTAAGTACGGGGACCATCTCCTTAACGACCGGAGAATGATTGCTGAGTTAAATATACAGATCCAAAAATTGAGGTCTTGCATTACCTGTCTGAAAAGCCAGGTAAGAATATGACTGGTAGAAGATTGCGAAAACACAATCCTCCCCATAGGAATATGCAAACGAAATCTATGCTCTTGGCACAATAGGATAGATATAAAAAAACTCCTAAAAATAAAATAAATATGACTAAACTCCCATCATGTTATACATTATATGAGGTTCTGGTTATTTCATCTCATTTTGAAAGTCTTCATGCAAGCACATGAAAGTGTAATCACATGAGAATATATTTATTTGGGGATTTTTTATTTCCTTCTAGTCCAGTGGTTCTCAACCTGTGGGTCGGGACCCCATTTGGGGTCGAACGACCGTTTCACGGGGGTCGCCAAACAAGGCTGTCTGCCATTTTTTTCCCCTTTTCTTTGGCCACGCCCCTGGCACCCGGTGATGTATAAGTGGTTGGGGGTCACCACAACATGGGGAACTGTATTATGGGGTCGCGGCATTAGAAAGGTTGAGAACCACTGTTCTAGTCAGTGTTGATGCCCCACAACTGCCTGACTTAGTCCCTGTAATTTTCTGGCCAAGATCTTGGAAGTGACTTGCTCTTGCTTTCTTCCTAGGGCTGAGAGTGAGTGGCTGGCCCAAGATCATCCAGCTGGCTTTGTGCCTAAGGCGGGACTGGAAATAAGAGTCTCTTGGCTTCTAGTCTGATGCCTTAACCACTAGACCAGGGGTAGGCAACCTTGGTTCTTTTATGACTTGAGGACTTCAACTCCCAGAATTCCTGAGCCAAGGTTGCCTAGCACTAGACCAAACTGGCTCTCATAAGAGTGTGTATGTGTACACACGTATGTGTATAAGTATAACTATATCTGAGAGAGATGGATGGTTAAGAAATATGTATAAATAAATAGGTATAGGAATAGATATAAATAGGTATAGGTATATTTAATTTGGGTTTGTATGGATCTCATTATGCATATTGAGGTGCCATGATACAGTAAGTACCATGTTGTTGCCTTAGTAAATTTATTTCTCATTCTGGGAGCCGCCGCATCTGATTAACTATCAGTTTCCATCATCTCCAGCCAGATGTGCTGGAACTGAAGAGAAATGTGGCCCAACACATCTGGCAGATATCAAGCTGGGAGAGATGGTCTACAGCAGGGGTAGGCAACCTTTTATGACTCGTGGACTTCAACTTCCATTCCTGAGCCAGCATGGCTGGCTCACGAATTCTGGGAGTTGAAGTCCATGAGTCATAAAAGAGCCAAGGTTGCCTACCCCTGGTCTACAGGAATGTCAGCATTTAGGACAAAAATTTTGAAAACTTATATCTTAAAGAGCAAAGGAGGGGGAAAAAAACTATAATTGGAGAATTTAAGTCCAGGAAGGTCATCTGGCCATATTTGCCCACTCAGTTGTGTTAATTTACTTGGTGTGGTTGATGTAGTATCTGATTAAGAAATATAATTATGTATGCTTTTTCTTTTCCTGTATGGTTTAGAAGTATTCACATTTGATGGTTATCCAAGCTAATAGCAACAACCAAACTATTCCTGTACATCAAAGTTTATGGGGTAATAAAGGAAAATTACAAGTGGTGGCAATGAGCTGGTGCAGATACATGAGCAGGCATTTCTCTATGTTTGCCTGTGTGCTTGGAGACATGCCACAATTTATATCTGCTATTGAAAAGTACTGACATGCAGGAGTAAAGACATTTTTGTGTCCTTCCCAGTTTATTTATTTCAAAAGGGAAGAAAGAAGAGAAATAGGGTGCTTGAGAGATCACCAAGCTTCTTTCCCTTACTTGTGATCTTCTGTGTACTCAGTGTCTACATTTAGAGGATAACATCAAAGACGTTGGTCTACAAGGAGAAGCATCCCTCAAGGATGCCAAAGCAAAACTGGCAAAATTGGAAGATGCCCTGTATAACGCCAGGCAAGACTTGGCTCAGCTGGTTAAGGAGTATCAAGAGCTGATGAATACCAAGCTGGCTTTGGACATTGAGATTCTCACTTACAGGAAACTAGTAGAAGGAGAAGAAATCAGGTAAGATTGTTTATTTGAAGCTTCTGGATATATAGACTGAAAGGAAAGTAGAGTTTAGATTAATTTGCCTCCAATATATTGTATCTGTTCAAAATTCTCCTGGGAGATTGAATTTCTTTCAGAAATTATTGCAGGATTCAAGCATCCGATGCCTACAGCAGGGCTTTTCAACCTTTTCACCCATTGTACCACTTTTAGGATATGGCAATATCCGAGTACCACCAGTTGCCTAGCAAGGTGTCAAAAACTTGATGACCCCCCCCCCCAAAAAGGAAAAAAGTGATAAAGTACAGATAGTCCTCGACTTACAACAGTTCACTTAATGACTGTTCAAAGTTACAATGGAACTGAAAAAGTGGCCCCCAAGCCACAGCCGAGCAAGACACCTGCCTGCCCGCCCAGCAGCACTCTTCCTCCTGTCCGAGGTTTTCATTGTTGTGAGCATTTCTGTTGGGGATTGGCAGCGGGGGTGGAGTGGGGGGTGTTTGGCTTTTATTCCACCCATCTGCTGGGTGGTTGCAGCAGGTTTTGGTCACTTCACATGACCCTGGGACACTGTGACCGTCGTAAATATGAATCAGTTGCCAAACATCTGAATGTAAATCACAAGACCCTGGAGATGCTGCAACATTCCAGCTGATTGGCGCTTCTTCAGGGCTCAGCAGAAGTGCCAGGATCAGCGCCGAGCTCCAGCTGGAGCCTGGCACTGATCCTGGCACTTCCACTGAGCCCTGACAGCCCCAAAGAAGCACTGATCAGCTAGAAAGCATCACTGATCCTGGTGCTTCTGCTGAGCCCTGACAGCCCTACAGCTCCAGCCATCTCTCACTCAGGCTTGTGTGGTGCTGCCACCGGTTCAGCTCATTCCCCTCCCCACTACCACTTTTGTAGGATGGTCACATACCACCTGCCAGATGCCAATGTACCACAGGTAGTACGTGTACCACTGGTTGAAAAGCCCTGGCCTATGGCATGTCATATCAGAAAGTTCTTTTCAACATCAAAATAAAAGAAACCAGGAAATACCAACCATTTTATAGTGCTTGAATGTCAAAATCTAAAGAAAAAATATTCAGAATACAACTTTGCATTTAAAAACATCAGATTCAGATTTTGAGTAGGAAAACCGAAACATTCAGCAGGTTTGTAATACTTTCTGTTCTGAGAAAGCTATACAGTTTCTTTGATAGAGACACTACAATATAGAATTAGCCACATCTGCCTGAAGAATTAACATGCTAGCTCCAGAATGTTCTAGCATTCGATATTGTATACAGTTAATGTTCAGAATCCTAAAATCCTTGATCACTACATCAGAAGTCTGGTAGCACTTTTTCCAAATAACATTTTTTATTAAAAATCTTAAAAATCAAATTTAATAAAATGTGTTAGTCAGAAAAGCTGTGACCATACTCTTTTTGATATTATTTTTTTTAATCAGAGACTAACACGGGTTCTCTTATTGTTCAACTAAACTCCCATTTCTGGACGTTTGTTGTGAAGCATAGCACTAAAGCCAAAGATTAGTTCAAAACATAATTCCAAAATACAGATGTTGTTTTTCTCTAGCTGCCTGCATATTTTCTTGCCATCCAGACTTTTATTATTGTATGTCTTCTACAGCAGTGGTCTCCAACCTTTCCCGCTTAGTGGACCGCTGGAGGCAGCTGTGGCAGCAGCAGGGGAAGGGGGGATGGTTTCATGTGCTCTGCTTTCACAAATGCAGCTTTCAGCATGCATGCGCACACGCGTGCTCACTCACCATTTCTGTAGCCCGGGTCCAAATTGGCTATGGCCCAGCACCAGGCCACGGACCGGGGGTCAGGGACCCCTGTTCTACAGCATTGCTTCCATTCATAGTGTGGGCATCTACATAATGAAGCTGATCACCACCATTTCAGGTCACATGGCAATCTAATCTAATTCAGGTTCCTTCTAAGGCAGGGGTCTTTAAACGTGGCCCTTTTTTTGTGAACCTCAACTCCCAGAATTCCTCAGTCAGCATGCCTGGCTGAGGAATTCTGGGAGTTGAAGTCCACAAGTCATAAAAGGGCCATGTTTGAAGATCCCTGTTCTGAGGCAAGGGACGAATACTGGAGTTTGTGTGGTGTTAGTGTGAAAAGAGGTCTTTGAATTTGCACAGGTTTGGTAGCTAATACATTTAACAAATATTTACATGGGTGCCATAAAATGTGCCATAGAATCTTCTGGGTGCTTAGAATACCACAGAGATACGTGTTCATTGGAATTCTAAAGATTCAAGAGTTCCAAAGAGCTTTGTATTTACAATCACCTATTTTATAAGTGCTAAGAAGAAAAAGGAGGAGGCACCAGTGACAAATAATTAGGCAGTGTAAGAATTAAGGCTTTTTATCCTGGCAGCAAGAATCTGTTGTTCTGGAAATGCTTTAGTTTTCCAGGATGGAACCCTTATATTGCTATATTATCCTTCTGAAAACTGGTTTTTATAGTAAAACTGAGCTAATTTGTTGTTGTTTTAATTACAGCATGGAATCTCCATCACCTGCATTCATTAGCAAAATCTACTGCAGACCAAAGTCCTGTAAGTTTCTTGTTTAATGTTTCTTTGAAATGATCATTTTTTTAAAAAAGGCACCAACATTTGCTCAAATCTCATTTGCTTTCCCAAATGTTGAAGAACTGAATGAGCTGAGATTATACAAAGCTAGTGGGGAATAGCATCAAAAACTTGTATAATGCTCTTCAAAATTATGTTAATTCAGATGTATGAGTACTAAAAGCAAAAATAAAATAGAAAATTACATTAAAAAGAAAAAAAACCCCTGTGTTTTGTATTTTGCCTTTGCAGTTTTATCCAACTCTGACATCACAAATGTCCCAGATGTGGCATCAGGAGCAAAAGATTTGACAAATAAAATGATCCATAGTGGAAATAGTTTGGTAACTGGACTTTCTAGAAATCACAATGAAAATGAAGCCCTGACTGACACTATATTTGCCAGAACTCACAGTGAGACACGTGACAATATTCAAGAGGGCTCTGATTCTGGAAGTCCAAGTCATAGAAGTACAGAATTGTTGACCTCCAAATTTTCCAGAAATCAAAGCGGAGAAAGCAGTCATTCCTCTGGACGTAGATACTATAGTTCTAGAAAAGAAAGCGTACCAGTTGGTTACCAGTCTCAAAGCCAAGGCAGCAGAGAGTTTACAGAGAATGCTTTTGGTAGAAGTCTCTGCCGTGATATCTCAGAAGACAGCCTTTTTAGAAGTTATAGTGGGACTAGTGCGTCCTATGTAGAAGGCTGGCTTTCTAGAAGCCAGAGTGATGATAATGAATGCGGAAATGTTCATGGAAATGAAGAATATGCTGAACCTACTGTTTCCACAACCACCAGTGCTGAAGATGATGGGCTCCCTGAAGGTGGCGTTCCTGGAACTTATCGTGAAATGAACAGGGACATCTCAGAGGTCAGCCTATCTAGAAGCCAGAATGATGAACCTGAATCTAGAGGCAGCCGTGAAAAAATTGCTGAACCTGTACCTTCTAGAACGAGAAGCACTGAAGATGGTGGAGTCCCAGTAGGTGGCATTTCTGAAAGCAGCAGCAAGGCCAACAGAAATACCGGTAGTTCTTTGGGTGACTTTTCTCCAATACAAAGAGACCAAAGTCAAGACTCTACCAATACAATCGTTAGTCAAGGCCACACTGAAGGTACAGAGGAGAGCAACCCTCATAATTACCCCACTGATAGTAATACAGCCTATGTAGAGGGGAGCCTTAGTGGTGAGAAAAAATCCATCTCAAAGGGTGGTGGCTTCAGAACCCCAAGTATAAGAAGTACAACTTTAAGTGACAGTGTATTTATCAGAACTCCTACTAGTGTAGATGAAGGTTTGTGTGAGGAGACAGATTTAAAAAATCATAGTAAGGCAAGAGGAAGTGCTTTGGAAACCAATATTTCAGGAGACCCTAGTCCCAGAAGTGAAGACCTCTCACTGCCTGAACTTTCTAGACTCCAGACAACAGAGAATAGAGGTATCTCAAGAAATAATCCCAGCTGTTTTGTATATGGGAGAAAAAGCAATTCAGAGAGTGGGCTTTCTAAAAACCACACCAACAGAAAAGAAGGCTTCACTCGATGTGTTTTTGCCAGACCTCACAGTGTCCCAGATAAAAGTGACTATTCTAGCAGTCAGATTGATGGAAGCGAAGGTTTTGTAAAAGCTGTGGTTTCCAGATTCAACAGAAGCATTTTGGAAGGTGGTTCCTCCAGAGGTCAAAGCAGCAGAAGGGGAGCTGTAGCTGCTAATCTTACGAAAGATCAGAGTAAAGAAATCAAAAGAGTTACAACTTTTCCAGATTATGATGTCAGAAATGCAAATGAGACAAAGGAAGTGGTCTCACAGTCTGGTCCTTCCAGAACTGAATGTGAACAAGCAGGCAGCTTTTCTAGAAATCTCGGTGATAATATAAGTCCTGTAAAGACTTCCACTCCTATTCACCTTCACAGAAAAAAGGAAGATGCTGCTGAACACAGCTTTTCTAGAAGCCACAGTGAAGATAGTGGGAGTTTTAAAGCAGCTGATTTCTTATCAAGAAGCTCCAATGAAGAAGATGGAGATATCCAGGACGCTCATGTTTCTACTAGTTGTGACAAAGAAAATGAAAAATGCACAGAGGGTGTGATTTCTAGAAACTACAGTTATAAATGTGCAGTTACATCCCACTCTAGAACTAAAAGTGACAAGGCTGAAGATGTTCTAGAAAGAAGCCAAAGCCACAATTCTGAAAGTGGAAAACTTTCCCCATCTGGAATTTATAAAGACCAAAGTGGTGAAGGAGAAGATCAATCTGAAGTTGCCCTTTCTAGAAGCTACAGCAACACAGATGAAGTTGCAGTGGAGAATCCGTATACAAGCCATGACAACAGAAATGAGTGAAAGGCCAGCATTCTCACATCCCATTACCTTGGCTTATGAGGTTTGCTCTGATGTGTAACACTACTTTCCTTCCGGTGAAATGTTATTATATCGCAACCCATCCACAAAGTAAGTTTCTCACAAACACATGAATAGGAATCAGGTACCACATTCTAGAAGCTCAAGTTCTTCTAAAGACAGATGGATTGTGAATGGGAATCCATAAAAATGTTTCTGTTATCAACATAACTATAGAACACGGGATCCTGCAGGCTTGAAGATGACCCAATCTTCTTTGGTTATTATAATTTGTGAGTCATGCTCAGAACATTATTTGAATTTTTTAATGCTATACTTTATGGTGAGGGGACTAATATTGCAGTTACAGTACTAGAGACGTAAACTGCAACGAAACATAAACCAACACTATCTAATTTACTATATGTTGTTTGTTATACTTTTTCTGTTATTTACATATATCAAATTTTAAATATGTATCAAAGTAAACAGTACGATGCTTTGCAAGAAAGCTTATTAGATGGATGCTAGTTAGTATATTTCACTGCTGATCTTTGGGCTGATTTCAAGAGTCTCCTTTTGAGTTGATCCACTGAATTCTTAAAGGCAAAAATTATTCTTTTCATATGCTTAGAAGCCTTTTGCGAACCTTAATGGATAGCAGCATGCATAGTGAAAACTCACCAGCCAGTTCTTGAAGGTTCGGTTTTTTGTTGAGTCTGTTATTAATTTGTTTTGTCTTGTTTTAGGCCAAGGATCTTAAGGTGCCTGCAGACATATGCTTCAGCATTCCCTTAAGTTGTTTCATTTCTGATATTTGCACACCTATGCAGATGGATAAACATAGTCCAGAGGCTTCGTACATTGCCTGACCGTTATAGAATCCAATGCCATGCATCCTTTTATCTTTGATTGTAACCTCTGAGCAGAGTCTCAAATTTAAATCTTCAGTGAAGCCCTTGAACTTCTGATAGCAATTCAGTTGCAGATGCCTAACTGAAAAGAAATCTTATGCTTTTCAGTGACTGTAAACATGTGGCTAGGAAGGGGTAGAAAGATTAATAAGAATAATTTAACTCTTATAGTTTTGTATTGCAATTTGCATGCAAAATACGGAGGGGAGGGAAAATGTGAGAAGTAAAGTTGAAACCAAGCTAGTGAAGTTTCACCCAAATTCAGGTCAAAATGTCTATCAAAACATAACCATATTATGTTTATGCTAGCATGTTATAATTCTGGGGAAATAGCAGCAGGTGGGTGAATATTATTTGTATATTTATATAAACCTAGATAGGAATAGTGATAAATGTCTTGTATTTCCAAATTATAACTGGAATTATAAAACTGAAAATGGGTACAGTAATGATATTCAAGGATTAGGAATCTCGTGATCAGAGCTAAAAAAAAAATGGATAAGAAAGTACAGCTTAAGCATGGACTAATTGGTTGAGCTGGGTGGAAGAAACATTTCTTCACCCTCTTATTCCTATTTGTGAGGATACAAAAGTTAAGGGCCTGAGTACTTTTTTTTAACTCGTAGGGAGCAAATGAATTCACTATAACTTTCTCCCTGAGCAAAAATGCAGTACAGAAACAAGCTGAAGAAGGGGAATTAATGTTTCCAGCACAAGTATGATGAAGGAAGGACACTTTACGTAACTTGAAGTCCTGAAACTGCACCGAGGAAGCAGACAGTCATGTGGAAAATTAGGAGAGAAAAAGACCAAAAAAGTTGGATAATAGCTATGATTATTTCACATTCCTTAATCTTGATAAAGAAAACAGCAAACAGGATATTTAAAGTTGCCTTTATCATAAGAATCCATAGTGTTGTGTTCGCCTGTTTCTAAAGCAAGGATTTTAACACCTATGCATACGCTGTAATTGAAAATGGGATATTGTGCTAACAAGGAAGTAGTAAATGAAAAATCGGAAACTATTCTCTGGGTATATTTTTTGTTCTTTGGCGAGATAATATATTTGTAGCACTTATTTTGGTCTTACTGAAATATAATGCTTTCTTGCACTAAAATTAAAGCATGTTGCAGCTGGCATTTTTATACACTGGGATCAGACATTCATGCAACTGTACTGTTATTTAAATTAACTAGAGATGTACAGGTGACTGATTTTATTAAAGCAAGATATTGAATAGATCTTCATCCCCATAACAATCAAGGGCATCTCTAGACAATGAGTTTTTCTGTTAACAAACCCTTCCAGCTCTGGTTTAAAGAACATGTGGTATTTCTGGGCCATTCTCACCTTTGCAAAAATATGGCTATTAGGAGAACGGGCAGGGTTCCATTCAGGGCTCTGTTCACTGGGAAACTTTGTCGGGCCTTCCACATATTTCTCCTCTCCCTATTTTCATCAAAAATACAGATAGTCCTCAACTTACAACAGTTCATTTAGTGACCATTTGAAGTTACAGTGGCACTGAAAAAAGTGACTTTTTTTTTTCACACGACCGTTGCAGCATCCGCATGGGCACATGACCAAAATTCGGATGCTTGGCAACTGACTCCTATTTATGAGGGTTGCAGTGTCCCCGGGTCATGTTTTACAACCTTCTGATAAGCAAGGTCAATGGGGAAGCCAGATTCACTTAACAACTGTGTGATTCATTTAATAACTGTGGCAAGAAAAGTCCTAAAACGCGGCAAATTTCACTTAACAACTATCTCGCTTAGCAACAGAAAATTTGGGCTCAATTGTGGCCGTAAGTTGAGGACTACCTGTATTTGGTGGCCTTCTGCATGGGTTTCTTTTACAAGCCAGGGAGGTGAGCAAGCTACATTCTACCACTAAGAGCACAGGGGTAGGAAGTACCCCAAGCATTAGGGTTATAATTTTCACTGCCTTTGTGTTGTGGTTCCTAAGTGACAAAAGAAACAGGCACTGAGTCAGTTGTAAGATGTTATCTGCATTGTTATTTACATTGTCATCTGGTCTATGGGGGTGGCTTCTCTGCAATTATCAGATGGGAAGTCAAAAGTCCTCACAGTAACTAGATGCTAAATTTGAGTAAGACCTAGTTCTCTGTTTCTGTACCCGATACTGTTCATTTTGCTCATTTTCTGTGGCTTAAATATCCATTCAGTGAGAATCGACTCATTTGATGGCATTGAATGCAATATCCCTGTTGTGTATGTGTATTGTATTAAAATATGGCTGTGTTAAATAAAGTCCTAAGCTATTTAAAAAGGAAACGGTGAAAAAAATTAACTGGAAAAATTGTCATTTATTCCTCTCAAAACCTTGGTATTCAGGTTGGAAAGGAAAGAATAAGTCCCAATTTTCTCTCCCCAAACACTCATCTGAACTTGAACATTTCACTGGAGGCTGATAATACCAACAAACAGAGTGCTGGGTGGAACTGCATAGATAAGGAGTGGTGTCATGGATCTTCATGGAATCCCCCCAGTATAAATCCATCCTCTGTATATACCAAACCACCCCACAGAATACTGGACATTTTGCTAATTTATTATCTTGTACAGTGCAATACAAATCAAAATATCAATTTCTTTGCAGCCACAGCACTTCCTGGTGAACTAATGACATAGCTTTTGTCTATCTTTAAGAAACAAGATGTAATCACTAACGGGTATGGTTTTAATAATATATATATATATAATAATAATATATAATATTATAAAACTTTATTGTCACTTGGAATGTACACCAATCGGCGTACATCAAAATGAAATTCCGTTGCATACAGCTCTCAAAGGGCCATCACCTTCGATATACACTCCTTGTTCGTGGCCAGCTCAACTTTCAGATCGTCCATTTTAGTCTCTAAAATGGCAAACAGGAGAGATAGAAACAGAGCTCCATGTGGATTAGCCCTCAAATTAGCTTGTATTCCTGCACGACAACCTCGCCTCCTTTTCTTTTTCTGAACCTGTCTCTTCCACCTTTTCCTTAAAGGGGCCTCGCTCCTTTTTGCCCCACCTCCAATTCCTCCAAAAGCCTCTTTCCCTTCCTCTGAGCCTGCCAAAAGCTTCATCCAATTCCTTTGCTCCATAAGCCCCGGGACCTCTCCTCCTCTGCCTCCTTCGGAAACAGCCCTGATCTGCAATAGAATCCATCACTGTGCCAGCAGTCAGATCTTGCTGCCGGCAGAACAATTTCAAACAGTGCCAGCGACTTTTAACAGTCTCACCAACAGTTCTGAAACAGCTAAAAACTTGCCATACCAGCAAAGATTGTTGGTCGTATGTTAGCTTAGTCCCACCACATTGCTCAGACACATTAAAACCTTCCCGATCATGTGGCCTCTATCCCTTATATTCCCCCAAAAGCTTTTCACCTTCGAGAGCCAATGCAGCCACAGCCAATGCAGGTGCTGCCATCTTAACTTTAGTTAATAAAACATGAATCCAAGGAACTGAAATTCAACACCATACAAATCTTTTGATGTGTGTGTGTGTTTGTGGGGGGGGGTAATCATATGAGAACCTCTTTCCTTCATCCTGAACTACCTAATTTATTCTCCTTGAGAAAGGGATATTTGTAGGTAGGAAGGAGAAAGACCATGGAGTGGCCACAATTTACATAGATCTCTGGGATTTAGCCCAAGGTTTTCTCAACTTGGGCAAAAACATTGTCCACAATGAAGCCATTAAACTAGTTGCATGCTGTTCTTCCATAGAACAGGCACTTGCGAATATATTGATTGCAGCAAAGTGTGGTAGCAGCAGTGTTTTCAACTGGGAAAAAATATTCCAAATATGTATGATAAAAGACAGCCCAAGAAGCACTTCAAATAATTCACCAGCAAACTATTTATGTGCTTGTTACATTGCTTTCTCAAGTTGCCTTTACTATTTATGTGATTGCAAACACCAGCCAAACAAAACAAGTATTGCTCTGGCAACAATGCACTGTTACTTCGATATTTCAGCCACTGTTGAGAAAGATTTTGAGTCAATGAACAACTTAACCTGGATGGGCTGCATTCCATTCAGGAAAGGTAAGTATATCTTCCAGATAAAACCCTTGAAACTTCTGTTGAAAAACCTTGTAATGCAATATAACTCAGGCACAGAAGAAATTAGGGGAAACAGAAATTAATCATAGTGGAGAGCAGTTTGCTTCCCAGTAGTTTAAATAATACTAACAATGTTGCTCACTCACCAGTTGCCCCAAATTACATTACTAAAATTAATGGATTAATTAGTTTATTTTCATGAGCTGGACTATCCACTCCATTCAGTTCTGCTGTACAAAATACATTCCTAAGCTCTGAATTCTTGAATGCTATATGGGTGTCCCAGGTTCTGATGGGTGGATCACAGAGATTTTTAAAAAGTAGATGAATAAGCGCAAAGTCTAATCACTATTTAAATATTCCTGATGTTGTGAAATCAAAACCAGCAACAATAGGTACTCCACTAAACTACACTGGCAATATCCATATAATTAATGTGCTTCCCTCCTGTGCCAGAGCTGGCGAGAAATAATCTCTTGGCTGCCATCTAGTGCATGTCTAGATTAATGCGGCATATGGATAAGGGTTGTTGAGGCGCTGGAGTTTGAGAAAGGGGTTTAACAGTGGGGATCAGTGTGGGAGCTGCACTCCATGCTCAAAATAGGCAAGAGGAGGAAATGAAGAGGCATGGGCCCTGGAAGCTACTGGAAAGGAAATATAAGAGAGAAGTCTTTTCAATTAAGCCAGGGACAAAGTCAGTCAATTATAGAGTTCTACACTCTCTAGATCAGTGGCCCCAAACCTTTTGGGCACCAGGGGCCAATTCCGTGGAGAGAGTTTTTTCTGCAGACCAGAGGGGGCATGGTTTTGTGTACTGCCTGCATCCCATGGGTGGGGCTTTGATTGTGCAGCCTGTTTCTGGCATTCCACAACCTGGTGCTGGTCCACGGACCAGGGGTTGTGAACCCCTGCTCTAGATTGTTGGAGGACCAGTTCCTCCCCCCCCCCCTTGACCAGATGGAGTTTATGCCAAATGATCATCTATTTAAACAATCCACAACATTAGAGCATGCAATATGCAGCTGTCATAAAGAAGACAAAAAACATCAGTAGAACAATCAGGCGAAATTTCTTTAGGGGCATTTCTAGATGACATATTTCCCCTGATGACATATTCCCGTCTCCTTTTTCAGTAATCAAGCTTAAGTAAAAAATCAAGAAACTGAGCCAAACCAAAATTGAAAGATTCCTCTATTCTTGCTAACAGCCATATCAAGGAAGGATTACAAGGGGGAAACAAAGGAGCATTCAATGATCTTTGAAGTAACTATTTTTCTCTGACCTCTTCTACCAGAGGGAAGAAGGTGTGGCAGCAAAACCTTCCCAAAGCCCATGTTTACATGTGTATATAGTGCCCTCTAGTGTTCAGGAGGGCCATCTCTTCCTCTCCACAAAGAATAATGCCAGACT